ATGTTCTTGACACCGGAGGGGTAGCTCCAGATGCTCAGGCTGTTGTCGGGGAAGCCACCAGTGCTGACAATCTCCTTGTAGTGGGTGCTCCAGCGAAGGCTGGTGACTTGGGAGTCGGTGGGGATGTGGTTGATGCGGGCACCAGTGGTGGTGTTCCAGAAGTAGATTTGACGGTCGTTGGAACCACCGCCGGTGGCAAGCAGGTTGGATTGCCATGGGCACCATGAGACGGCCTTGACGGCAGCGCGGTGGTTGGTCTTGGTGAACTTGGGAGCAGCGAGCGCGCGCGCATCCCAGATGTTGACCATGTTGTCGTTGGCACCAGTGGCAAGCTGGGCACCGTCGGCACGCCACTCAAGACCGCAGACCTCTCCAGTGTGCGAGACAAGCTCAGCGATCTTGTGCTGAGCGACGCGGACGTCGTGGTTGTATACAAGGCCGGAACGAGCACCGGTGGAGAGGATGTGTTTGTTCCATCCCATAACACCAACGCGAGTCTCGTGACCGAACATGCTACGCAGCTTGGTCTGCTCCTCAACGTCCCAGATCTGGACCTCACCCGTGCCGAGACCGACACCAACGTAGGCACCGTCGCCGGACCACTTGACGGAAGAGATGTAGGTATCGGCGGGGCACTCGAGGAGAGAAGCGACCGACCCGGAGTCAGCTGACCAGACGTAGACTGAGCGCTCAAGACCGATAGCGACCTGGTTGCCGGAAGACCAGTCGAGAAGGTTGAGGTAGTAGTCATCGACAAGACCGGGAGCATCAAGGACGCGCTCGGGTGCTGACGGGATGCGACGGCGGCTCTGTGCGTTGACGCTGCTGCTGGGCTTAAGAGGACGGTTGTACTGGGAGCGAAGGTCGATGGGCTTGGACGACTCAGGCGGCGCTGGCTTGAAAGCAAGAATGCGAGTGTTTGTGTTGATGCCACATGCTGAGGCTAGTGTGGACTGGTATGCAGCCTGGCTAGGAGCTGGCTTGGAGCGCGACCGGCTCTCTTCCTCGTCGTCCTCAAGGCTCAGGCCCTCGAGGGACAGTGTGACATCCTCCTCTGAACCACGGCCACCGAGATCGAAAGCACTTGCGGCGTTGGCAAGCACGGTCGAGCCCTCCTTCTTGGAGCTGGACTTGGGGCGCTGTTCGGCGTCGAGCTTGCTGGCACCGACGCTGCGGATGGCCTCACTTGCTGTCCGGTTGGGGATGAAGCGGTCGGCGGCGTTGTAGGCAATGCGCGTCTTGGTAGGGCGAGCACGGATGGCAGCCGCCTCCTTCTTCTCCTTCTTGGCCTTGGTGGCAGCAGTGGTGCCGGAGCCAGTGAGGGCCCATTCTGAGACACCGAGTTCTAACCGGCGGGGAGTGTGTGTGTGGGAGCGAGCAATGTTGGACTTGGGGGAGTCGCGCGTCGTCTTGGTGACGGAGCGCTGGATGCGCGACTTGAAGTCGTTGCCATGGATGGACTCGTGTGCCTGCACATCGGGAGTCTGGGTGCGCGGGGTGCGGGGAGAGGGCGTCAGTGGCATCCGACCGCCGGCGGTGCGGGTGTTGAAGACTGCAGAGCGCTTCTTGACCGGAGTCACGCAGACTGCGGTGCTTGCCATGACTGCTAGCTAGTCTCTTGCTGGACTAGGGTTAGTTGGATTCTTAGTACATAGAACGTGGTGGCATACAGTATGTGGTTTGGGTTCTGCTATATGGTGTAAGGATTAGTATTAGACAATGCTGTAATCGATGCTGTGAAGTATTGATTCGAAAGTAATTGAGTGATTCGCGCTCTGGAGAAGAAGATGCAGGACAGTGCGGATGGTAGAGTGCGTGGTAGTGGATACGCAGAGTGGCAGGTATGGGGGCGTTTAAGTATCCTTTGTTTACGCTTGCGTTGACCTGGTAACGAGGACGGGACCCTGCGCGAGGCTGGCCGGACGACCAAGACGCATGACATCACATGACGGTGCTCGACCCTCGCCGGCATCATAGTCTATCCGATGTGTGAAGCCGCATGCATCGTCGTCGTGTACATGCCGCCGCCTGCATGGCCTTGCTCTTACCGCTGCATCCATGATGGCGATGGCTTTATAGCGTCTGCTCTCGTGCCAGGCTGCGACGCACTTTAGCACTGTCTCAGTCTATCGTCGTTGCACTGCCACTCACTGATCACATATTCCAGCGTTAATCTGCTGCAGCGTCCAGTGGCCAAATCTCGGAGTGGCTCGCGCTGTCCGTGTCGGGCACAGGGCTGAGTCGTCGTGGGTCGGCGCTTCCGCTTTCCAGGCTCGGGCGGTGAGGGGCGGCAATATGCACGGCCAGCCAACTCAACTTCCTCCGTCAAACATTCTCCCAGCCTAGACAAAGGCCACCTCTGCCCACCGGGGCTGCTACCACGAACCAGACCACGCTATTCACCGCTCACTATCCATGGCACAAACATCCGCTCGATCCGCTTTCCCGTCCAACATCCTCAACCCCGCCGTCACCTCTACACCCTCGCCCAGCCACTCCCACTCGAACACGCCGGGATCCGCCAGCTCTGCCAATAACACTTTCCTCATGTCTGCGAGCCCCGTTCGGAGCCGCAGATCAGCCGTCGAAGGCTACAAACCGAAAATGATTTCGACAATCGGCGCCAAGCCCGCCTGCCTGGTCAATGCCTCTGTCACATATGTTGGCGATGATCAGATATACGCCTTTGGAGGCTTCGACCAGTATACCGACGAGGTATACAACCACGTCCTGCGCCTCAATCTCGTCACTCGACAATGGAATCTGGTCGACAACTACGGAGACATTCCGGGCGTACGAATGGGTACGTGCTCACCGCTCTATCACCAATGCTACTTCCGTCGCAACTAACATAACGCTTTAGGACATACCGCATGTCTCTGGCAGGGCAGCAAACTGCTCGTCTTCGGTGGTGAGAATGAGCACCGTCAACACCTCGCCGACGTCATCGTATTCGACCTGAAGACCGCCCACTGGACCCAGCCCGAACTCCATGGCCCAATACCTCGCGGTCGCGCTCGGCATTCGGCCGTCATATACGACGATAAGCTATACATCAGCGGTGGTCAGACTGGGCACGACAGTGTACTAGACGACATCTGCTATCTCGACCTCAAGACGTGGACCTGGTCCCGGACATGGAGGTTCGTTCCTCGTTACGATCACGCCAGCTGGATCTGGAACGGTCGCATCTGGATCTTTGGTGGCATCAACGACGAGATGGAGAAGAGCAACGAGATCTGGTGGCTCGATCTCCGCGGCAGCCCGGAGTTCGATCACGCCATGAAGTATGGAACAGGCGACCGGCAACTCATCTCGTCCCGACATCGCTACCCTGTACCAGCGTCTGGTCAACTTGCGACCGGAAGCAGTGGTTATACTGCAAACTCGAGCGTCCAGTCATATCATGGCATGGGTTCAAGTCGCTCACCCTACGTTGCGCCTGGCTCCATCTCATCTCTCAAATTTCACTCCAGTCCGAACCTACCATCTCAAGCGGCGGGCACGCATTTTCACATCTTTTCATCCGGTTGCATGCTCGATTTCGTCACCCCGGCAGAGTTGAGTTGCGAGACAAGTTTGTCCAGTCTAGAGCTAGATACACTGCGATGGCAGAAGCTTGCCGACGGGAAGGACCTTTACAGCCCCAACTACCGCTGGCACTACTGCACAACAAACCCCGAAGGAACACATGCCTGGCTTCTAGGCAGCCCGATCGAGTCGGCGAATGACGGGAACCACAACGGCGAGTATCTAAGTGATGTCCTCGCCATCGATCTTCGGAAGTATGGCATCCTGGGCAACGAGCTGGCCTCCGACACGCGCTCAAAGATGATGCCTTCTTCCGATGCGAATGTGTCTTCGCACCTTACCGGTATTGGTGCGGATCTTTCCCTAACTTTTGATCAACCACCCGAGAGCGGTAGCGGCGCAGACTTCATCATCACGGCCGATCCCGATGATGATGACTACGTGGATGTTGCCGTGCCAGATCCCAACGGTTCGACAACAACCGTGAGCCCAGTATCGCGGCCGATCCACGTCCACAAGCTCATTCTTCATGCGCGCTGGCCCCATTTCGCCCGTCTGTGGAGTGCTCAGATGGCAGAGTTCCACTCGAAGAAGATGCACATTCCCGAACCGTACTCAGCAGTTCGGGCGTTCCTGTTTTATCTGTATACGGATAGCATTGCGCCAAACCCGCAGAATGGACCCAGCCTGAACGACGTGGCGGGCATGCTTGTCATGTCCAACATCTACGACATGCCCCGTCTTCGCCTGCTTTGCGTCAACCGCTTGGGTCGGGAGCTCGACATTGAGCACGCAGCCATAATCTGGGAGCGTGCTGCTACTGCTGGAGAGGACTGGCTCAAGCAGCGAGCAGCTACATTCTGCATGCAGAACTTTGGTAGAGTCGTCCGCACAGCCGGCTACCGTAGCCTCAGTCCGGCGAGCTTGATCGAGCTCAGCTGTGAAGCTACTCCAGAAGCGCGCATCGTTGGTGGAGAGGATCTGGATCTCCTCAGCCAAATCACCGGTCGCTCTTTCGGCGGCAGCAATCGTAAACGCAGTTTGGGTAGCGCAGGCGTCCTCACGGCAGGCGAGGACGACGGCGAGGACGAAGTGGAGGATGATGGCATGGATGTCAACTAATTCAGCGGTTGAGCTTTCCTTTTCTTGCGACTTTACTCCTTGCTCTGCTACTGCACAAGCATATTGGCGCGGCGTTGGTAATTTGACGGGTAATTGGGAGGAGTTTGGTTGGATTTGGTATATGCATTGCGTGGGCGCGCAAGGACTTTGGCGCTGGAGTTTAGCTAATGGTCCCCTTTTGATGGCACTCACGATTACATGATTGCACCCCCGTATTATACCGCTACATAGATACTACGAATTGTTCCTTCTGCCATCATGATTTGCCGTCTTCGCGATTTCTGATATGACCATGTCTTGCTCTGGCAAAACAGAATGCCTGTCGACAACTTCAGGCGTATGGTATACTAGCCGTAGCGAAGCCTTCGTCCACCCTTCTGCTCAGCCATCTGACAACTCACTGATATCCCCTTTCGCTCTGCGTAGTTGATCGCATCGCGCCCATTGATGTTAGCACACTGATTCGCCTTGATACTCGTCAGCTTCGGAAGTTTGTCTGCCAGCATCTTGATAGACGCCCCAGTGATGTGGGTATGCGATAGGTCGATTGTCTTGAGTCCCGTCGGGTACATGAGGAGTCTCTCAATCTCATCGTCATTGCAGAGCGTTGTGGCAATATCCAGGGACTCCAACGCGGGCGTGAGGACGCGTGGGGAAAAGCCGAATATGGACTCCGTTCGCGCATCAGGCCCGGTTCCGAACATGTCATCTGAAATATCACCGATTAGGCCGTGCAGGGTTAACGATTGCAAAGGCTTTCGTGTTGAGCATGTTGCCGTTTCACTTTCGTGGAAACAGATGTCTAGTAGGTTTCCTAGTGTTTCTGGCTCCAGACCTTTGAAGCCAGATATGGCTAGGTGTGTGAGCTCTGGGACACAGGACTGGTGCAAGGGCAGGCTTTGCTGTAGGTTCAATCCACCACCGTCGTTTTCGATGACCAGTCGCTGTAGCGTGGGCGGGAGAAGAGGAAACTGCTCAAGGTTATTCCACTTCAGCGTTAGGCTTTTCAATGGTGGTAATTGAGCTTCGTCTCTGGGCCATCCTTGTGGGTACTCAAGATGTTGTACGTTGGAGAGTGCCAAGGATTCAAGGCATGGCGTTCGAGCCAGGAGGTCGTGTAGACTGAGATTGACCGTCGAGACGGGGGACGACCAATGCATGCCGAGTGTGCGGAGATTCCCGAATGAAGTTGGCCAGTTAGTGGCGGCCCCGCGGGACCTCAAGGCGCCGAAGACCACGTGTTCCAGTACAGGCCTCGCATGCATTATCTGCGCTGCAGTATCTTGCGTGATCTCTGGAAGTATCGTGATTTTCTTCAGCTTTGGAGCGCTTTTGACAATGTCAATCAGTGTGGCCGACATGGTGTGTGGCAAGGAGATGAGCTCTAGTTCTGTAAGGTCCTTCGCTGCTTTCGCAAGATTCTTCACTACGTCCATGTGTTCGAAACGATGGATCGTGACGCGCGTCATTCGGTATTCCGAGCGCTTGAACGCTGTATTGACGAAAGAACGAGGGACTGGTCGGCGGGCGCCGGAGAGATCGAGATGCATCCAAAGCTTAGGTAACTTGGAGAGATAGTCCCTCCATCCCGGGCTGACGCGCATGCAGTTGACCATGTGGCGGAAAGAGCAATACTCTAGTACCATTTCCGCTAGCTCAGCAGGCAGCACTGTAAACGGATCGATGGCCGATGCAGGTGATAATTTTCGAGTGAACTTGTCGTGAAGTTGTTGCAAGAGCTGTCGACGGTCAGCAAGCCATGCAGAAGACGAAGTGGAAGATGTGTTCTCATAGCAGGTCAAAGAATACATCACATACCTTGAAGTTCTTGTCGCTAGGTGGCACATTTTTCATCCCGTACTTATAAATCCCAAGCGCCGTCTCAGGCTTCTCCAACTTCTCCAGAATGCTCGCCGTGCGTAAGTAGCCCTTGACATCTTTCTTGTTTAATCTGATCATTTCTCTGCCATCTTTGACCGCGGCGTTGAGGTTTCCAAGCTTGTCGTACGTCGCAGCCCGATGATCGTACAGATCCGCGGTTGGACACGCCTCGATACCTTTCGAAAAGGTTTCCAGGGCTTTCTCGTATTGTTTCAGCTTATAGTAGCTGCGACCAATCGCTTGGTACTCTTCTGGAGACATTCTGCGCGCCATGGTGATAAGAGCGGATGATGTTTGCTAAGCCGAGATGGTATCGTTGGGTAGCGGCCAAACCCAGGGTACGCAGTGCGATTGTGCCTAGTCGCCCAATGGAGCTGCGCAATTACGGACGAGGATCTCCCGGGTGAATCACAATGATGTGCGACCGAAGCCTTCAGAGGGTTATTGCTGTAGATCTTCCACGCGTGAGATGAAATATGCTAGTTGCGGTGTTGAGGTCGTAGGAGTGGAGTGCTTACGTGCCGCGACGCGTCGAAAGACACGCTAACACATGACGTGATCCGTGCGCGCATGCCTCATCGTGCGGCGAGCTTACGAACTCCATCTCTAAAGCTGTTCTCATTATCAAATGCGGCAGCAACAGATACAAAATACATATAGTGGTGGCCGTCTTGATTCAATCTACTGGATGGCGTGGCGCTTGCAATTACGGTAGGTCATCACAACGGTGTCACATTTGTGACGGAGCTGTCACGTCTGGATGCGCCTCATGTGTGGTCCACGCGAATGGTGCTGAATGACATGCCGCTACACTTAAAATCCTCTGACATACCGCCCGCCCGTAATGAGAGTGCTACAGCTCGTTTGCTCGCAAGTTCCAGCTGGCACGGTACGAAAATTCAAACAGCAGGACGAAAATTAATCAGTCCAGAAGTACCCGTTATCGCACTGGAAAAGTAAAGAGGTCGAACATGCTCCTGCCTTGCGATCTCGAAAACGAAGGAAACGGGCTGGGGTGAAGTCAAGGAAGAAAGGACTTCGCAGATAGAATGAAGCATATGGGAAGTACGAGCGACTTTGGACATTCGTAGACTCAGAAGGGGTGTTCTTCTAGGGGTAGAAAGAGACACGCCAGCTACACCGAGGAGCCGCCTCGGTTCAATAGACGGGGAAACGACTCACGACCAACTCCAGAGATGAAAGGCCCCCAGACCCAACTCTAGTCCGTCCGTGGGCCCGCTGTCCTGCGACTAGCATTGGCGACGACCTGGGCAATGCACGAGGGACCTGGTGACTTTAGCGATGGTGGGACACATGACTGTTGAGGAGGAGTAGATCCTGGAGATGGTGGGATCCCCACACTATCTTGGGACGTCGGATGGATTTATCGGACATTGGCAGCATCCTTGGTACGGAGGTTAGGTCTTGGGATCGGGTTGACTAAGTCGCTCCGATGGCAAGTCGGAGGTCGAATCAGTCGGGGCAGTAGGACGCCTTTATGCGGCTGAAATACAGTGGATCTGTCAACATAACCTTCGCATCGAACCGAGACGCAAGAGCTAGGGATCGTAGCAAAACGTTCTTGAATTTGATCTCCGCCGTTTTCCCCAGTCCCAGAGTCCTGGCAATGGGGTCGACGATGGTAACCAAGTGGGATCAAAACAGCAACTCGGTGGAGGTCCCTCACGATGATGATGCATATTCAACAGTAATTGGCGGATTTTGGAACGACCCTGCGTTGGAGGGAGTGATGGAAAAGTGGAGTGTGATTATCAGTGTGATTATCAATACGGCATTTGCATAAAGCGGAGACCCCGACATTAGACGGCGGTTCCGGTGACAGACTGGAGTGTGTGCCGCTTGGCAGGGACTTGAGCGAGAGTGCGGTGTAGTAGGCCCCGAAAGCGACATAAAATTGGGGTTGGCTGTTATATGTGGAGTTACCACGTCGTTGGGGCGTTTGGTGTGTTTTAGCACACGATATGAGAGCCGTCTTTTCCGGCATGTGGAATGCTTGCGGGAGCAAGATTTGGGGCGGATTGATGGGGTACTGGAGAGATCAGCGCAGTTTAGCTGGATCCTGGGGTAGACTTGTCGGTATGAAGCACTTTCATAGGCTGCGAGGACTGCTTTCGGTGGTGTTGCTGCCGCTGTTTACTCCTGCCTGCGTGACGAGAAAGGAGCTGGGTCAGTGAAATGCGCCCGGATGTCCCGAAACAGGAAGGCCCGAGATCTGCAAGACAATGCCCGGGCACATGTCAGCCTCATCCCCACGCTAGGCTTGTGAACTCCACACGAGCCTCTCCCGACTACCAAGCATGCATTGGCAATTTGTCCCGCCATGGCAGAAAACGCGACCGCGCCTACCGAGCAGCATCCACGGCGCGACCAAGCTGATCGACCGCACGGCGAGAATATGTAGGAGGAGTGTCAGCAAACCAAGTGCGCTCCCGAAAGCCTGGGCAAATCCTCGGCTGTATAGCAACTTAATCTGAATGTCTCGAGAGATGCCGCTATCACGTGCGTCGAATCGTCTCCCGGCCGGCAGTGCCGCCCGACGTTGCTGCACTCCATCCCAGGAAGTACAGCCGACCATCGACCATCACAGCAACCATCGTCACCGTTGCAGCGCATGGCGTGTTCAAGCTCCACCAACTGCAGTCTCTATTAGTTAAGATCATCGGCCAAGCTGCAAAGGCTGCAGAGCCGCATGCGCACGGTTGGTCAGACCCTGCATGGGGACGGACGCGAGTCGCCGGTGCATGACGTCAAGCGCCCTCTTGTTGAGACTGAAACCGTGCCTTATGGGAGGAATTAGCACGCTATCCGTACACGGCGGCATGTAGCCCGAGATGGTGCCTTTGACCTACACCGGTGTCCAGTCGACGACGAAGTTCCTGCATCATCTTGACATGCGTACCGTAGATTTTGACAGGCGGTTGCGGGTGGCGTAGGCGGCGAAGAAACTTCTTCCAGCCTTCTGTGCTGACTGGCGAACCCATCGTTCACCAGTCGTTTCACCTGCGTCTTCCCCAGGCTGACCCCAAGCCCTGCGCACATGACGTAATGTGGAGGTAACCTCGGGCTAGGAGCAGAGACATGCTGTGCCGAGCGCGCTTGTTGGACTGCAAGCGTCCTCCGCTCTTCTCCAAGATTGGCCCAAGATGGCTTGCTCCACCAACAGACCCTGTTAGGTTCGCCTTTGTATCCACAGTTTATTTGCGCCTCTACCGCCCGCACCTCAGGCTCGCATACTGCTACACCAGCCAAGGCCAAGATGTTGGAAAAAAATCGTTATCTAGTTTTCTCCACGCGTCAGTCGGAATCTTGGTAGCGTATCTTTTAGTGGGCCGAGGGTAGACGACCAGTAACCACGTTTCTGCCGAACACCCTTGTACGCAACGGACGATGATCATTTAAAGCTCTACTCTCTCCCCACGGATCTTTCCTCCCCAGCATCTCCTCACTCCTCTCCAGTTTCCATCGATACAACGCAACCATGCCGCCACGTATCAAGGAGTCCGAAAATGGTGTTCCCACCTACTGGGGCAAGTCCGGCAGGGCCCTCCAGGTTCTCATCACCATCGTTGCTGTTACCGACTTCCTACTCTTCGGTTATGACCAGGGTGTCATGAGTGGAATCATCTCTGCTCCCGCCTTCCAAGATGCGTTCCCTGAAGTCAAGGATGACTCCACCTACGAGGGTTTCGTCGTCTCCATCTATGCCGTCGGTTGTCTGCTTGGTGCCATCTTCGTCTTCGTCTTCGGTGACAAGCTCGGACGTCGCAAGAGTATCTTCCTGGGTGCCGGAGTTATGATCGTCGGTGTCATCATCCAGATCGCCTGCGTTCCTCCCAACAGTGGCGCTACCGCCCAGTTCATTGTCGGACGATGCATCACTGGTGTTGGAAACGGTATCAACACTTCTACCATTCCTACCTACCAAGCTGAGTACGTCGAGCCAAAACCTGCTCTTTCAAACAATTACTGACTATTTCTAGGTGCTGCAAGGCCAAGAACCGCGGTAAAGTTATTTGCATCGAGGGTTCCATGGTTGCCATTGGCACGCTCATCGCCTACTGGATCGATTACGGCTGTCTCTACGGTCCCGATGACTTCACCTGGAGATTCCCCATTGCTTTCCAGTGTGTTTTCGCTCTCATCGTCATCGTCATGATGATTTCGCTTCCCGAATCTCCTCGATGGCTCCTCAACCACCATCACGAAGACGAAGCCGCTACTGTACTGGCTGGTCTCAACGGTGTTGCCCGCGACGACCAAGAGGTCATTGTCCAGATGCAAGTCATTCGCGATGCAGTCAACGCATCTGGTGGCGGCGGCAAGGTCCCTACCAAGGCTCTTCTTACCGGCGGCAAGTCCCAGCACTTCCGTCGTGCTATCCTCGGTGCTTCCTCGCAATTCATGCAACAATTGTCTGGTTGCAATGCTGTCATCTACTACTTCCCCATTCTGTGCCAGAGCGCCTTGAACACCGACCACAACCTCGCCCTTCTTCTCGGAGGTGTCAACATGATTGTTTACGCTATGTTCGCCGCTACCTCTTTCTACTTCGTTGAGCGTGTCGGCCGCAGAAAGTTGTACCTCATTGGTACCGTCGGTCAGATGACTGCCATGATCATCACCTTTGCCTGCCTGCTCCCCGGTGGCGTGAACAACGTTGACAACGAGGGACCTGCCAAGGGTGCTGCCGTTGGTCTGTTCTTGTACATCGCCTTCTTCGGTGTCACGTGGCTCCCACTTCCCTGGTTGTACCCAGCCGAAATCAACCCCCTCAAGACCCGCCAGAAGGCCAATGCTTTCTCGACCATTAATAACTGGGTTCGTATAGCCTGTTTCCCTGCTCCTGAGACATGTACTGACTTCATTTTTAGCTCTGGAACTTCTTCATTGTCATGATCACACCCGTCTTGATCACCAACATTGGTTGGGGAACTTACCTCCTCTTTGCCGCACTCAACGCATCCTTCATCCCCGTCATCTACTTCTTCTACCCTGAGACTGCTGGTCGTTCCCTCGAGGAAATTGACCTCATTTTCGCCAAGGGTTACACCGAGAAGATGAGCTACGTGCAAGCCGCCAAGCAGCTCCCCAAGATGGACGAGGCTCAGATCGCCGAAGCCGTTCGCCAATACGACCTCTCCGACAGCGACGTCGAGAACCGCTCGGCTGCTGGATCGCTCAAGGAGAAGCGTCAGCAAGACGAGGAGCTGATGCCTCAGGCCGGAGGTCAGATGTAAGATCTGAAATGTTGCAAGACGAAGATACGAGCGCTGGTCGTACATGATTGCGAATGAGCGCGCTGTGTGCGCTACGGTATCGTTGAGTCGTTACTTGTTATGCATTATGCCTGGAGGAACTATACCCGACGCACAAACGTCACCCATCTAGGCTTGAGATGCATGGAGGAATTTGCTACGTCGCATGTCTAAGGAATGCGCGAGTTTCGTTTTGTTTCTAATTGCATAGCATCGCTTTATACCATTGATCGACAGATGTCGTCAACCATAGAATTCTATGACTGTTCTCACTACATTATGTCTCCTCCACCCTTGAACGCGCACGCCCTGATGAACCATCAGTACAATTGCTCCTACCTAGATGCAGGCGGGCTTGGGGAGGAAAGCTTACAAGTACCAGTCGGCTGCCATGTTGGCGTGTTCGGACTCAGCGCAGGTGAGGCCGACGACCACGATCGAGCATTTGCAAGACCAGCATCGATGCGCAGCGCCAGATTTCGAGGCTGCGATATAGTAAGCAGGGAAGTAAGGTAGCAGTGAAGCAGTGGAGTAGGTATTTGACAAAGGTCCGGGCATACATTTTCATCCTTGGCCCTGGGGAGCCTGAGGTTCAGCACCATCTGCAGTCTCACTTCCACCTTCGGCAGGCGGAGCAATCTTGATAGCGGGAACATCATCGGTAAGCGCAGCAACCTCGGTAGCGGGGACACCGACAAGCGGTTATTCTTCCATCTCATTGTCGGTCATTTTAAGGGTCTCCATGGCGTCAGTCGCATCCTTCACATGCTCCTGCAGAAGTAGAGGTACGAAGTCAGCATGTCTCACATGCACATCGTGTAACTAGAGCTTACCTCGTGCGCCGCAGCATCGTCATCTTCCGACTCGTAGTCTCCATGCTTAGTCCGCTCCAACTCAACACCCACTTCGTCTAAAAATCCGCGCAGCTCGTCCGTGTACCTATCGAGTGCAGCATTCTCGCCCTCTGGATGCCGACGCCTATGTGCACGCCACAGCGTCTCCGCCTCCACGCGACAGTTGTTCGCGTCTTCCCAGTCACCCAGTGTTGAAGCCAATAACATGAGCGCTTTCATACGATGGTGTCGTGATGTAGACTTATGAGCGAGAAGGGCGCGGGCCATTTCGGTACATTTGTCCAGGCGGTCCTTGTTGCAGAAACTGCCTGCTTCGTTCAACGCCTTAGTGAAGGCCTTGTCGATATCGCTGGCAGTGGTCATTCTGCAAAGTATCCACGGGTCTTGTATAGTGTCTGTCGCTGGGTGAAAGGTTTCCACGATGCTTGTGTGTATTTGTGTGTTGTGGGCGAGTGAAATCAATTGACTCAACCTTGAACAGTTACCTACCTACCTAAGTATGAAAACCATCACGAATACCATAGTGTGACTTCACTAACAGTACCAAACAAATACAGACCCCTGTCTCAAGTCGAAGGCGCAATCTTTTCTTCGCTGGTGTTGAAGGTGTCTCGTCATAATACGGGAGCAATCTTACCTATAGTGCTTGAATGTTGTCAGGCTTTTTGTATCAGTCGATACAAGTCACCCAATGAGTCCTCATTTCCGCAAAGTTAGTTGTATCCTACCAAAACAATTCTTGTGTATGTGTGGCACACCTCATGAGACCATGTAGTTCTGTCGGGACTTCAAGGTGCTGCGGCGAACGCACGTGCCTCGGTAGTGCTCGGAACGTTCCGAACGCGCGCCTCGATGACACTTGGCTTCCATTCCACTCTTCGATACTGCGACCTTGCGTCCTCATGTTCCCACACCAGTGACCGAGCACTATGGCGATATCGAACGTGTCATTTGACACTCTGGGTCCTTTCCTAGTGTGGCAGTTTCTCATTCCCGTCGTAAGCTAGCCCTCACACCTGCGGCACGGCAATATCTAACGCGACACAGGCAGCGGGATGGGCCCAGTCCATTCTCTACAGCATCTTCATTCGCGCTGGCGACCCGAAACCGCAGCCCGGCACTCCGCGCTTCATAAAGCACCGCCGCAACATCTTGATCGCCATCTACGCCGCCTACTTCGCCTTCACCATTTACGAAGTCGACTTCAACTTGCAGCGCTCTAGCAATGCATACAACGACCTTGGTGTACCGCTAGACGTCGACGAGAGCGCACTGAATACGCGATTCAGGAGGCTGACGATTCGATACCACCCAGATAAGATTGGGCCGAACGTGGATAGAGAGAGGGCAAATGACTTCTATGTTCATCTGAAGCGAGCCAAGGACATCATAATGGATCCTGTAAAGCGATTCGCATATGACCGCTTCGGACCAAGCATCTTTGCGCAATGCCAGAGCTGTTTGACTATCAAGGACTACACAGACAGTGCGCTGCTCACTACCGCTACCACATACGGCGTACTCTTCATCATTCTAGTTGGCGCAAACGCTCTCGGCTTCCTAACAGACGGGTCATACTGGCGCTACCTAGGACTTCTCGCTGTTGCGACTTTCGAAATCCGTACCGCTCTTCGTCCAGATTACCCCACCTTTCTCTCGAAATACTTGAACCCGTTCGTCGCAAGAACCAACCTGCGTCCCCCATACCTACCCTTTCAAATCATCACGATATTGAAGAAAGCTGCGATCTCTCTTACGCAGTTTCTCGGTCTGCTCATGCCACTTTACCGAAGCGACCCTCAACATGCCGCTAAAACCAACGACGATACCGAAGACACTCGCCACAAGCAGCTTGATCGTCTCAGCGCGCTTGTTGCGGAGAGTAATAAGGATGCGAACAGACTGCTGGAGCTCGAAAGCGTGCCATATAGGGATAACGAGAGGGCAAAGGGCGAGCTGAGGGAAGCACTTAAGAAGTACATGGTGCAGAACGTGGTGCATCAGGAGAAGGAGGTGAGGAATGCTATGGGTGAGGTCATGATGCGGAGAAGGACGGGTGTTCCGCACGGTGCCGTGGGCACGAAATAGTACTAATCCGAGCCGATCGATATCTGTTACCAATACACGGCTTTTAATCTCTGTTCTATGGATACAGCAAGAACGCGTTTCTGGACTCTGTCTACCATGCTCCGCTGCCTGGTGATTCTACTCAGAATGTCGAGCTGACAACATGGTTGAATAATGGCAGATTAGAAAAACAGGATAGAAGATCCCTGTGCACTAGCGAACTCGGCCTCTATCAGGATGTATCGCAGGTTCATGAGCGGGTGATTAGTGCTATGGTTTTAGCCCTTTGTTGCTAAACCCGACTTTTGCCCCCGCTATGGAGCGAGCCCGACGATCCGCCAATTCCCCGCAGCCTCCCCACATCTTCTAGGACCATTTCAGCAACCTTTCCGGCAACTCAGTGGAACATCTCGCGGCCGTCGGAATAATCGCGTCCGCTTTAGCCTAGAAAGAGAGGCACGATGATGTCGATGTGCTTTCTGTCATAGCTTCTGATGGCATATGAAGCTCAAGTAGCCGTGAGAACATGGTACGGCTACCTCCATAAACCACCAACGACCTCAATACTTCCATAATGGCCTCACTCAGAGTCGCCGTCATCTCCCTCGCAGCATCCGTTGTCTATGCATACCCGACGACGGATCACTCCGGAGCTGGATGCCTAAGCGTACCAAAGACAGCAGAAGGTGCTTCGATACCACATAGCAACTCCTTTGCCTCATTCTCATTCGAACCTGCCTTCTGGGTTGAATTCTTCGGTAATGCTAGTACTCCCAACAACCTTACTTTCAGTGTCTTGAACAGGATCCATGAGCATGGTGGAAGTCCTGTCATCCGACCTGGCGGCATTACCATGGACAGCATGATATTCGACGCAGACGGTGGCGACGTGGTGCGTACCACTAGTCCGGAAGGCGGCGTATGGCGGACCACTGTTGGACCTGACTACTACAAGAGTTGGAGTAATTTCCCCAATGGCACCAGGTTCATCTCAACTCTCAACTTCGGTAATGAGAGTTTGGAAATCTCTACAGGCCTTGCAGTCGCATCGCTTACCTATCAATCCGACAAGGTCGCGTACCTTGAGCTTGGTAACGAGCCGACCAACTATGACGAGAGCCGGTGGAACGATTCGACTGCAGCCTATGTGCAGCAATGGAAACAGTACACAGCTAGTATCGATACCGCGCTGGATGCTTTGAACAGTTCAGATCTTCCTCAAGAGCGCTGGTGGGCATCTTCCGCCACGACTGATGACTCAGGCCTAGAGGTTCGACCTGCAGCACTCATCCCTGCAGGCATCGACTCAGAAGATCAGGTTGGCATATATTCGATACATTCGTATGCCTTCTCAACCTGCGATCCAGAACGCGCCGCCTTGGCCACCATCGAGAACATCCTCAATCATACCGAGCTCACACGCTACTGCGATGAAGAAATTTACCCGTCTGCCCGCGCTGCTCTCGATGCTGGAAACAACTGGAACATTGGCGAGTTCAACTCCGTCTCTTGCTCCGGTGCACCAAACGTCACCGACACATTTGCGCAAGCACTCTGGGTCATTGATAGCGAGTTAATATACGCGACAAGGAATGCCAGTTCCACGCATCTACATCAGGGTGCTACGCTTGCCCTTCAGTCGGACGAACAGCTCAACACGCCCGGTGCAAATGGTAGTCCAGGTTTCAGCACTTATTCAATGCTGTACCCTCGCGACACCGAGTTGAGAGGCCCGGCACGAACTCTGCCCTCTTTCCTCGCGCAGCTATTCATGGCTGAGGCCTTTGCTGTGCCTGACACTCGGGTTCGTGCTCTCGAACCACCTGCTGGCGTTGATCCAGAGTCGTTCTCTGCATATGCGTTCTACGTTGACGATCACCTATCCAAGCTAGCACTCGTCAATATGAAGCCTTTCTACGCCAACTCGACAGATAACTTCTCTGTACATGTTGATCTATCGGGCGCTGTGGGTTCCGACGGCGGATGCTTAGGTGTAAAGAGATTGACGGCACCATTCGTGAACACTGGGAATAGCTCCTTGACATCTTGGGCTGGGCAGTCATTTCCTCAGGGTGAGCCGATGGGCAATGTGGTTGTTGAAGCGGTTGGGACAGATGCTGTAGTGAACGTGAGGGGTAGTGAAGCAGTACTTGTGTTCTTCGACAAAGACAGCATATATGGTCTATAGATGCTGGAATTTATCTGGAGCTTCTAGTGTGAACGAATAATGGAGGCATTGCGATAGCAGTTGACAATTACGTACAGCGCATGAAACGTGCGTTTATCGCGTCGTCCCTTCTGCGAGATGAAAATGATCAGTCTAGGCTCTAGAATTGAGATGCTGGGATTGGCCGATCGTCATGGCGTTGCATCGTGGCTTAAGCCAAGCTGCGCTGGTGGAGAGGAGTCGCGATCCTTTTGGCCCCTGTCACTGGCTAGCGCATGTATCCTTTCGCTCACCTCAACGCAGCTTCCATCGAAGTCCTTTCACCAACACCAGCTTTCCATCTCAACTCATCATCCCTTGAAGCTCACAATAGCGTCCAATCAAAGGCATCCACTGATGGTGTCGCTCGGGGATCATTTTCGGCCTTCGTGCGGGCCGGAAGCCATTGCCTAGCCACGGATCGCATGGCAGCAATAAGAGACGAAACACGGCAAGCCTAATTACGCCTGGCCACGCCACCAAAACTTCTTGCAGAGGTCAAAATTATACCGATCATATCAGAAGGAGCACACAAAAGACAGCTGCACCACCTATAAGCACAAGCGTCCTGATTCATCTATTGACTCCTACGCTAATGTAAAGTATATGCTTCATAAAATCAAAGATATGCGGATGACCTTTGAAATTCGACGTCACACGGTCGCTAGATTTATGCGCAGTCCCGTCCCTCTGAGAGTCTCTACCACACTTCCTATCTTCAGCATGAACTGCGCAGCTTCGTAGGAGAAGCGCTCGTAATCACCATCTCCCAGAGACCCTTGCGCTAAATCGACTTCGATTACGACCTCAGTTCGAGCGGTCTTGATGACAGTGAGGCCCTCAATGGTTTTGCAATACCGCCGCTCTTCAAACAGCCGCTTCTCCGGCAACAGAAACGCAAAGTCAAGCGGCCGAATCTGTATGTGCAAGCGTCTTGCATAATGCGCTGGAATCATTCCCAGCCCGAAACCATCCGTTTCAAGAAACGGTTTGAGCAGAAAGAGCTCGTGATGGGCAAACTTGAATGTACGTGTCCAGTAGTAGCATTCGAGCAATTCTCTAGCAACCTCATTACCCAAACCTCCTGCGCTCATGTATGCTGCGGTGGGGTCTTCGATCCATTGATAAGAATGCTGGCCGCACGCCTGTCGGATGAGGTGCGCGAAGCGTCGGCCGTTTCCGGTTGCTGTGCGCCGGACGATGACTTCGTTGTCATAGGATCCCTGGACGCAGAACGCATACACCCGGTTGCGGAGCTCACGTGGTAGACGTGTATAGATGTCTGAAGCCAATTCTTCGACTCGAGGTGTGCGAGGGTTTTGGCTGCCGTTTCTAGCAAATTAGTCCTGACCGGGTCGTAGTCGCATTCGTCACTCACTGCTTCTTAAGTTGCTCCACAAGGACTTCGCTGTTCCATGCAAAATTCTGCTGTCGCATCATCTCAAATCCGTATGAGACGTCGTCGAATCTGTCCATAACCATCATGTTTCTCTTTGTGATCGACAGCGCTATCGGAAAGTATGTTTTGATGGCATGCTAGTTCCTAGGATATATACTCCAAAGCAGCGGTGTCTCGCTCAAAACTCGAACCCACTTCGCAAATGCACACAGGTAACCACGTGAGTGCTAACTGGCAACGATGCTTTTCGCGAGTGCTTTCGCGGTACATCCTACACTAGTCTGGCCGCCACGCGAAGTAATCCGGATTAGGAAAGCATTGCGCATGGCACGGATCCTGTGGGAAGCGAAAACAGCAGCAATCACTTCAAAGACGCAACGTCTGGCAGCATAAGCCCGAAAGCAACGCCGCAGTCGCCGATATGAAATGACCCGAGTTGAGGCCTAACTGACCGCCTTAAACACCGAGCTCGCCTGACGCATGTAGGTTCTGCGACAGCTTCGCAAGGGCTCCTGCTTTGTGCGAGACCCTCTAAGATTAGTTGCACATTGTAAGCATCTGACATACAACCCAGTCCTCTCCATTGGATCACGCGCCCATCCCTTTGGCCCCTCTTCGCCGCTTTCGCCGAGCTGAAGTGTGCATTGGTGTGAAGGTGCTTATGGTCACGTGCTTACGCCCCCACTCTTTAGGTACCCACGGGTATGGACACCGGAAGTCCTTGTGCGTTCCGCCCGTTGATGACCTGGGACTCAACACATTTCCCGGGAAAGAGCTCAATATACCAGATGCGAACCATCCGACGACTTTAGTACACCCACTACGGTTCGGACCGCGGATTGGCAGAACCCCCGCATGCGGCACAGCACGCTCAACAATAACGGGAAGCACGATGATGGCACACAATTACAGTCGATCGAGGACCCCATTTCTGTCCAGGTTAGTCGTCGGCGACGTTTGATGGCATCTGACATACGTTTGCTGTGCCACATCCAGGTAAGACGGCGCTTACATACGCCCTGAATCGCAAGCTGCTCACACCGTAAGCCGCACACGACTTGTCGCCAATCGATCGCGAAGATAAACACGACCCCTCGAAATCCATTTCTCATCGTCACCGTCATCGATTGGTCAGGAGCAGATCTCCTCGCACTGCGCGTCACGACTTTCTCCACCAACATCCATCACAACATCAGAACTAACCGCGATGAAGATCCGTCACTACGAATGGGGACCGTGCCACGTTCTTACCGGGATTCATCCACACCTTTATCTCGACATCGAACCGGGTATCGTGTCCTCCACACCCATACCCCCTCGGGGACGTCCTCTTCGCTTACAGCACGAATCCTTCTGCAACTCAAATTATCCTGCGGCCCCATCCTGATCCATGACCTCGACTACACGTCTCTGGACGTTCAAGGAGATCATCTCCGCGCCGGAAAAGTACTAGAGCACACCCGGACAGTGAACTCCGCCCTCCACCCCGTGTGACGGTAGTGACACGACTTCTTGGGGATGTTGTTGATAGTGGAGAGGCTCGTACGGTTCAATGGGTACCAGATCGTACACGCTGACTACGCTTACCACCCTAGAAATGACGAATTTTCAGCTGCTAGAAGCAAGGCGGGCGAACGCGACACGCACTAGCTTCATATGTAGTCGAACCACCTCTGTCGTCGCATTATCTCTTGGCACTGACCCGGAGTCAATCGTTAGATCTGGGGTCTCCTCGTCCTCCTTATCCCGTTTGCGTACTCGCCCCTCCCGGTGGTAGAATTCACAATAGATCGCGAGGCATTAGCTGGTTCGATAGGCCCTCACTTCGCATGCCGCGGTCAGGCAGTCTTGTGGCGCTCGCTTGGATCGAGAGATTTCAGGCTAGTATTATGCGGACTCAACCAGTAGTCCATTTTCGACGGTCTTCGTTATCACACCAACCTATTGGTAGATGATCAAGGCGCCAACACGGCCGAACACGATTGCTGGGGACCATGGAGGTCGGCGAGATACACACATCGTCGACTGAAAGGTTCGCTAGCGACTTTGGCAAGCGCCAGCGCCTAGTGCACTTCTTTCTCCCGCCTTGTTCACGTATGAGAAGCTCAGACGACTCACCGGAGTTACTCAATGATCTCTGCGGCCCCCTATGAAGGCCTGAGAAATTATGTATAATTTCTTATTTCCATTTCCATGATTGGTCATAGCTGCGTTACCAAGGGGGGATTATTCAACAAAGAAAATGTCCGAACGCAGCGGCAGGATCACAGCGTGATAATCGAACAAAGGAGGAGCAACATGATCTTCGACAATCTTAACATTTAAGTGTCGAAAAATCCTTTCTGAATGCCTAATGAGGTATTTCTTCGCGAGAGCACAGAATACAGGAACGCGAACACTAAGGCTTCACCATTTTCGCCCCGTCAGCGGCGTGCTATTGACGGCATACAAGCCGGTTTCGTGCTGCCACAAGGCTCGAAGTCTTCCGAACAGGCCGCAGTTCGTTGGCGAGTCGAACTTGTTGGTGGCATACCAAGTCTTCGCGGGTGTGCTGAGGCTGCAGCAGATCTAGCGAAATCACACCCATCTCATGTCTTACTCGCTAGCGGTAGGCTATTTTCACATCGCTAAAGGCAAAAGTAGTGCTCACTGGCCGGTGAGGACCTTTTCAGCCCGCAAATCACAAGGTTGTTCAGCTAGGCCATGGTAGACCAAGTCTTCGTATGGATGTGTTGAGCACTCCGGGCTACGGGTGAGTCAAGAGTGGCGGAGTCTGGACTACACATCGCGAATGGGTGTAGGTGCGATGAGCGCATCTGCTATGGGGTGACGGGACGGGTGTAAGGGAGTAGAGAGTGATAAGCTTACGCCCTCCTTGTCGCAGTTGGTTTTGATCCAAGGGGAAGATGTCTTCAGTGAACGGTATGTCACGCACTAGCAAGAACGATGCTATATACATCATTGGCCTGGGCCATGAGTACCCGCCCCATTCGGTAAGACAGGAGCAGTTTGAGGACTTCTTGCAGCGCTTGTGCCCCGATGAAGTAACTTCACCAGCGTCAGTCATCCAGTGTCTTCCGTAGGAACTATTCGTCTAATGCTAATGGCCTCGCCAGTATCCAGAAGCTCATCCAGTTCAACAAGAAAACCAAGATCGTCTCCCGCCCAACTATCCTCGACTACACAGGATGGACCAAAGAGAACACTGCACCGCCGGATGCCGACTCCATCTCCCGAATGTTCCGGACAGAAGGTGTGCAGCTCACCACCTTGGCCTGCAAAGAGGCTATGCGAGAAGCTTGCCTTGAGCCCAGCGACATTACGCACACGGTAGCAGTGACTTGCACTGATCAGAGCAACCCCGGCTATGATCTCTTTGTATGCCAGGAGCTTGGGCTTGGTCCAAACGTGCAACGAGTGCTACTTCATGGCGTGGGATGCGCAGGCGGTCTATCAGCGCTTCGTGCAGCTGCTAGCATCGCCGCTGCCGCATCACAAAGAGGACGGCGCGCCCGCGTCCTGGTGATGGCGTGTGAGATATGCAGTCTCTCTATTCAGGCAGAGGTCCAAGCGGCCTGTGAAGACGACAAGCTACACGTAGCCCCAGCGCTATTCTCCGATGGCGCAGCGGCGCTAGCAGTATGCAACGGTCTTGCGCTGGCAGACAAGCAAAAGCCAGTGTTCGAGCTGAAAGATTGGGACAGTGTAGTTGTGCCGGGTACTTCGAGCTACATCTCGTACGATATCGAGAAGCATGGTATGTTTCTGTAACGTCCAGTGTTGCGTTTTTGTTGCTTGGAGTTGATGTTAACATATCAGCAGGCATGATAGCTACTATCAGCAAACACGTTCCAGGCACAGCCATCGACGCCATCTTACCCTTGTTCGATCGACTGCGTGCCACCCTCAATACTACTCACGTCGCTGCATCGGTGAATCGCAGTCCTGCTTCGAACTTCGATTGGGCCATTCATCCTGGCGGTGCGACCATCCTACAGGGGGCCAAGCAAGCTCTGCAACTCAACGACGACCACATCCGAGCCTCCCTCGACGTGTACCATAACTATGGGAACTCATCCAGCCCGACCGTGCTCATCGTGTTGGACAAACTTCGCCGAATGGGAGAAGGCAGAGAGAACATTGTTGCGACCAGCTTTGGACCGGGGGTTTTAGTTGAAATGTGCTTGATGAGACGATGCCGCCAAGACGCAACAGCATCATCATCTTCATCTAGCGTACATACGAAGATGTATACTGTATGGCTTTCTCTACACTCACGGTTGTCAAAGAGGTGGACCCAGGTACAGCCAAGGGCCATGAAAGGTATCAAGAGAAGGACGAGCGGGTATGCCTCAATTGTACATTAGTAAATATTTCCGAAATGAATGCATGCGTACATAAAGAACGGTCTCGTGAAGGCTGCGTCGCGGTGGGTGCTGTTCGAGTGCACAGGTAGCGATTGGCTCTACGCGAAAGTGGGTCCGATGACGTCAACGCGTCTGGATCTCGAAGGGACGCGACTTGCTATGATTGCATTCCTTCTCAAATTTGAGACACAACGCAACGCGCATGGCCCGCACACGCTCGAATCAGCGGTACAGCGAGCAAGCTGAAGCAGTTCCACCAGTTCTGAGTGATGACGATGTCAGAGAACCCGATGATCAGCTGGCGACACCATCTGCATCCTTCCAAGACCGACTGAAGAAGTTCCAATACACCGAAACGCGGACGAAGCAACCCACCGGGTCACCATCCGGATCGCCGATAGAACCTAGAAAGCGCAGTAGGACTACTGTGACGGCGGTCGCAAAGATCGCACCAGAACCTTCCCCACGACCGAAGAAGAAGAGGAAACCCAGCAAATATGCTGACCCATCCAAATACGCGCATCTATCGCCGCTGGTCGACATACTAGAGCCTAATCTGATCTGTGTCTTCGTTGGCACGAATCCAGGTGTTCAGACGGCCGCTGCAGGGCATGCTTATGCCCATCCCTCGAATCTATTCTGGAAGCTGCTCCACTCCTCAGGACTTACCGACCGTCGACTGAAACCTGAGGAAGATCGGAGTCTCCCTGCTCTTTATTGCATGGGTAATACCAACATTGTCGAGAGACCCTCCAAAGATGCTGCCGAGCTCTCGAAAGAGGAGACTGCGGCCGGTACGGCACAACTGGATGCCAAGTTCCTCAAATACAAGCCAGAGGCTGTGTGCATAGTAGGCAAGGGTATCTGGGAAGCCATCTGGCGGTATCGCTATGGCAAGAACATGGGCAAGAAAGATTTCAAGTATGGGTGGCAGGATGAGGAACACAACATGGGCAAAAGCGAGGATGGCCAGGAAGAGCAGGATACCGATGGCAATATATGGAATGGGTCCAGGGTCTTTGTTACTACGAGTACGAGCGGTCTGGCGGCAAGTCTGAAGCCGGCCGAGAAAGAGGCCATCTGGAAACCCTTCGGTGAGTGGGTGCAGAAGCGAAGAGCCGAACGGGGCTTTGTGCCTCGGCCAGCGGACGCATAGGAATCCGGTGACGACGTACCGTAACCCCAAGGGTTGTCAATCACGGCAGTCGTCGCTACTTTCGCGAAAGAGTCGATAGCGCAACGTATCTACTGTGCAAACGAGCGGCAGATCATCTATGTGCGCCCCTTTCGACTTCCACGCTACGACTTCTACGAACTGTTCTGCTGCTTTGTCTACCAAGCCACGCGTCGTCTAACAGTACGAAACGATGAGCTGTCATACAAATCGACCCGTTTGTTTGGTACTGACAATCCTGGGATCCCATTGCTTGTATGCTTGTATCGAGATTGCGCCTCACCTGCGCCACAAGAAGTCACCATGCTGGTTAGTCGACTGCCCTCAAAGTCCTTTTACCGCCAAGCCGGCTCCCAACCAGAGTAACAAACATCGCTTTTCGGACCGCAGACTCTCCACTTGGTCGCCGACGGCGTACATGCTGACTTGGCGCCGGACGCATCCGCGCCGCCCAAGGTCTTCGGCATCAATACCACAGTAGCTTTCGGACCCCTTGGCGGTGCGTTCGTCTTTGTGTCAGGCTTCACAAGTAGATTCGTGGCAGGAGTGTGGTAGGCATGATATCGTCAGAGCACAAGCTTCGTCGCTGCTGTCATGCCAAAGGGACGAACGACTGAGCCACTTGACTGGCCCGTCTAATATTGCCTGTTGAAAAGTGGCGCCACAGCTAAGCTGCATTGGTCACTAGCGTTCGGAACAGACGGCAAGCTCGCATATGCAACCCAACAGCACCTCACATGTGCCATTCACGAAAAGGTCATTTCAGCTCGCGCTTTTCCCGGATCAGTGGTAGGAAGTATCGAAAATATATGCATACGATGTTTGTTCACTATGTCTCGCATTTATGAACAGATATGCTTGCAACACCGCACCACGTAGCAAAGCAGTGTTAATCGTATCGTTCGCACGCAGAACGAAACGTTATCAAGTCATGCGCCTTACATACCAAGACTTTGCATACGCGTATGACAAGGGTCGTGCGTCTATCGTAACAGCAGTGGCTTGCCTGGTCCCACTCATGCCTCAGCAAGCCCGAGCAAATGCCACAGCTACGCGCCCTGGCTGCCACACATGTGGCGCCGAGCAAAGCTCACCCGCAGCCGTCCAAAAGTACGGAACGTATACCGGCATGGACGCGGTGAATTACGATGAGCACGTTGGGTCGTGCATAGCCTCTCGCACCCTTTACCTCGCAGATCCGGTGTTGCCGTTTGCCGAAAGCAATAGCCAGGCGCGTCAAGACGTGCAATCTTAAAAGACACGGGTTGGTCCCCCTAAAGTCCCACTCTGCTGTGCCACACATATCGTCTGCCACACTCCTCTGCCACAGTACACCCTCAACACCAGCCTCTCTTCACTTGCCACACCCACGAGCTAGACGCTTCACCAGCCACGAGCCCGCATCTCTATTCCAACGTCAGGTCTACAACACCAAATTATTAAATATGAGCTACCCTGCTCCCCAACAACCTGGCTACTATGGCCCTCCGCAGCCGGGCTATGGGCCACCGCCTCAGCAACCGGTAAGTCTAATCTATTATCATAACGTGCAATTGCAAGTTTGCGGTGATTTGGGGTGTGGCTGACGCTGTTCGTGAATTAGATGTACTACCAACAAGGACCACCGCCGCCACAAGAGGAACCAAAGAAGGAAAGGGGATGCCTGACTGCTTGGTAAGTCTTTTCTTCCTTTTCGCAACACTGGCTGGGTGTTGCAAAATTGAAGAAGAGAGACGGAGCTAATGCGATGACTAGTCTTGCGACCCTGTGCTGCTGCTGGCTCTGCGGTGAGACATGCGAATGCTGCCTCGATTGCCTGGACTGCTGCGACTGCTGTTAGCCACGCTCACTACAACATGCGACACGGTGACGACGATGGATTAGAGGGAAAGGGATGAATACACGCTCACTACATGCTCTCGGTTCAAGGGCGCGGATATCCATGGGTTTTCGATGGGGGCACAACGGTGGAGAGGTACGGGATAATGGCCTTGGTTCGTCACTGCAGTGACGATGGAGTTAAGTGGTATTGCCTTAGTTTGTACAAATCTGAAACCGTTTTCCTTTGAATCCGAGTGAGAGAATCACAAGTTGGCTGATCCTTCCTTCTTTGCACTATGCTAACAATACTCGTGGCTCATAAGTCTTAGAAAATACCTGTCGTTACACTCGTGATCCCTCTTTTCTCCACGCACCGATCGATCGACCGAAAGTCCTACATTTAGTCGTCGTAGTTCTCTTCGAGTTCCTCCTGATACTCCTCCTGCGCCTCGATGAGCTCCTCGCGCTTCTCCTCCATGGACTCACGGTCACTACTTGAGATGGAGTCACCGTCGGCGTCATGGGTGGGAACGGGAGGGGGCTCCTCAAAGGCCGGATGGTTATCATAGTCATTAGGGTCTGCTGGGGGAGGAGCGCCATAGGCGGGATCAGCCCCGTAACCAGGGTCAGCACCGTAGCCACCTGCAGCAGCTGCGGGAGCCGCCGCTGGAGGCGCATATGACTGCTGCTTCTCGTCGTCGCTGCTGTCGTCGGCTAGTATGTGTTAGTCGCGCTGCCGCATGTTATATACACAAAAGCAACATACCAAGTTGATGGCCAATGAAGGCACCGGCTGCGATACCTCCGACACCAGCGGCGGCGAGCATGGCACCAGAATGGCCCTTCTTCTTCTCAGCCTCGTTCGTGGCAGCTCCAGACTGCGTGTAGTCGTGTCCCTGGTGGCCGTGGGTGTTGCCGAACAGGCCGCGCTCATCATGACCGGCTGGCGGCATGTAGGGTGCGCCTGCTGCGGGTGGCGCATAGGGACCAGGGGGCATATGCGAGGGAGGGTCCCATTGCGTGCGACCAGTTGCTTGCTCAATGTAGAACCATCGCTGGCTGTTCTGATCCCATTGCTGAGTCCAGCCCGGTGGCATCGGCGGGGGCGCACCATACGGCGCTGGTGGACCTGTGGGTGTGGGGGCGCCGCCATAAGGCTGCTGTTGTGGATAGCCCTGGGGTGGGTAAGCTTGACCTTGAGGCGGATATCCTTGGGGTGGATATCCTTGACCCTGAGGAGGACCCTGATGCGGGTAACCTTGTCCCTGGGGTGGGTAGCCTTGGTCTTGGGGAGGGCCGCCTTGTCCACCTCCATAGTAGCTATCAGAAAGCGCGCGATCACCAGGGCCAGCACCACCGGGAGCAGCATGGGAGTCTATCCAAATAAGAACTTGGTCTCTTTGTTCATTATAGAGTTACTCACCGGCTGGCTTCTTGTCGTCGTCATCCATGAGCTCCTTCATCTTCTTCTTGAGGAAATCCATCGTGGTTTGTTACCTGGCAATCGTGTATTTGTCTTGTAAGTATTTCTAAGAAAACAGTATGTGGGATAGCAGAAAGCACAGAGAGAAGTAAGTATGGAGCTGATAGTATGCGCGGGGCGCGACAGGACTTTAAAGCAAATGGATCTGTGCACAGTCCGTTGCCAGCGGGGCATCTCACAGCAGCCCCGGAGCGCACTGCCCCAGTTGTCTTTGAGCAAATCACTTATGCTGTACATGCTTGGCCAGATGGAGATGGCATGAGGGGAAGCAGCACGGCTTCGAGTGGAGGGGCATGTCGAAGCTGACCACTCTACTGACAGGCGGGCAGGAAAAGTGGGGTGATGAACCGGCCTGATACGTCTGGCGGCTAGCCGGAGCTCCATGGTTTGCAAGAGTTCTATTAGTGAAGCTTGGCGTGGATATATGAGGGCCGCTTCGCTGCGCGTTCAGTATCGGGTCGTGGAGATGTGCTCATTGACCTCGTGCGACGACCAGTCGAGGACAGTTTTGATTGATCTCGGTGTTCCAGGTCTTTCTTTTCTGTTCTGATCGCAGTACTCAATGTCGATAGAGTATGAAGTTTCTGCTCCAACACGGAAGCAAGGGATTGTTATTGATGGGCGTGGATGGCACAGCGTGGTGTGGCTGGGATTGGCGACGCATGCGCCATTAATGCCCTGCCACGGTGGCTAAATTTCGAGGCAGCTGCAGCCGAGACGACTTGTGCCCCCATCGTGCCACGATATCTGCAAACACGAAGTGTCGCATGCTGTATGATGTCACTGGGGGATGCGATGACCTCAACCATGTTGCACCGCCGCCCACGTTTTCAAATTGTCGTCGCAAACGCGGGTGGTGGCAGGCGATAACGGCGAGGCTTCTCGATGCCAACGGAATGCTTTGAATGAGTACGAGACGAGTCCGATGACGAAAAAGATGGACTGCATGCGCAGTTGCTTCAAACCTTGATGATACCGTTTGCGCAGCTGATATGGCAGGTACAGTGATGGGTAGTATGGGTGCGGCCACGGTGCCTGGAGAGAATGACGGACGATCACGTGACTATGACTCGAAAACATCAGGTCGGCCCGGGCCAGGACGCGGAACGGTGCGCGCACGTGGGAATGGCACAACAAGCTCACCCATGGTTGGGGGGTGCCGAGAAGCAGCCGAGAAGTCGTCCTGTGCGATTATCTCGTCTCTCGTGGTTAACGATGAGATGGGTAGCAGGTGGTAAAGAGTAGGGAAGGCTTGGCGGTATTCGCGTAATGTGAACGGGATGGAGGGAGGTACCATCGTAAGAAAGGGGCGACCAATACAGATCAGCACATGGCGGAAAGAAGCATCTATTAGTGTATGCCTGGAAGAGAATTATAAGCTAGAAGAAACCAAGTCGACGATTCCAAAATCCTGGGCTTCTCGAAGTTTAGGTTCAAGGTTGCGACGATGCAGAGGGTCATGTGTTGAATGGGTGCGGGTCTGAGGCTCGAGTCTAGACCCGTCAGATGCATGACGTGGGGACCAGCACAGTCGCGAAAGCAGCGGTGCACTGACGGGACACGGCATTCCAGCTGCTGCAGATGGCACAGACGGACATGTCAGAATGCCATGCACGGCGTCATAGCTGTCCAGGGCGTGTCGAATGTGAAGCTAAGTACGAAAGAATGGCGAGAGCGATCTCGATGGCGATGGGCTGGCCAGGGTGTTGCAGGGAGGGCCAAGCACGAGCGCAAGCGAGATCTACAGCTCTGGACGCTCCCGAGGTCCTGTACGCTGGCTGCACCAGAGCGACGGCTGAAAACAAATGTGCAGAGCGACTGTCTCCATCACGATGATGCCCTGAGGACACGACACCCACCGCATCCCACCGTCATCGCTACCGTCGCCGCGCAGCTGCACACCGACCCGCCTAGCCTCGCCATCGCAGAAGCCGCCCTTGAACGTCCGTCGTTCCCTGGTGTCATCGACTCGGCCCCTACGCGGTGAGACTGCATGCTAGATCTCGAGACGACGCTCCACCACACCGACCTTTGACGTTGCAGCGTGACGTGCGGCCGCCATCAACGGCCTTCGCCCTGCCTGTCGCCTCGCATCCCAGCATTTCTATGAGGGAGCCGCGGTCCATCTTCACAGGTATTGACACAGCGACGCCTCACGACTCCACGCCCGAGCAGCGCAGGCTGAAGTTTGCCCTGTATCACGAGCCTCCAATTACGTCACCCACGACCCCGGACCCGCCCAGCGCCCTCGACGAAACATCCAATTTGGCCATACTGCAGCCTCCATGGACGCCCAAGTCGCCGCTTGACCGTCGCCATTGCACTCCGCCGCCGGCTTCTGCGCACGGCGCTCGCCAGGTCATTGGCATAAAGCGCCCTGCTCCTCCCTCCACCGACGACGCCCTCGCGCCTACATCGCCACACCTACGAGCACCCGCCAGCGAGCCCCTGCACAAGCGCCGAAAAGCGCACCCACGCTCACGACACTCGCTCGACCACTTCGGCTTCTCCAAGAGCGCCCAGTTCCGTCTCGACGGCCAGCCACCCTCGCCGCTGTTCTTCTCGTCGCGCAATATCCGCCCGCAGCTGCCCGCACGCTTCTCCACCTCCGAGGCCTACAGGATGCTGAGCAAGACACGCGAGGACAGTGGCATCAAGACCGTCACACTCGCACGGGGCACTTTCAGCGGCCTCAGCCCCCCAGGCCCCTCGGGCGCTGCCAGCGGGCGCACTTCTGAGCGCTCAAGCCTGCCCCCCGCAGCATCGCCAGATTCGCGCGACAAGCTTGATCCACTGCGCGTACTGGGTTCCATCGGCATAGTCGAGCTGCTCGAGCAGGATGAGCGGCCAACCTTCATCGTCGACACGGGCGACTTCGCAAACTACATTCCCGAATCGTCTAGCTTGCAGATACTCTTCTCCAACAGTGCCCTCCGACTAGACTCCTCCACCTGGGAGCTGGTAGCTGGCAAGCCTGCGGGCGCTCCCTCCGACCATGACACGGCGCACGCAACACAACAATTTCGAGGATGGTTGTTGAGCACTGCAGTCCAGGGAGATGGTTCCGGGGCGAATCCTTCCCCGGTAGAACACGGTGGCATTGTATGGACCTGTTACACCTTGCGGAAACGGTTGCGCGTCGTTTCTGGTACCGTGTCCGCCCCTGCCATAGTTTTGCCCGCTGTAGACGGCCCCAACGATTTCGCTATACCTTCAACCTCGTCCGCAGGCCTTGAGTCTGGAGCCAACGGGGATGCCTCCGTATCCTCAACGCATCAAGGCGAACTGCAAGATTATTTCGGGAGCACCATTCCTACGATCCCCCAGGGTGAACCGACGCCTCCCATCTCCGCGCCCCAGCCCGAACCAAACTACAAGAAGTTCGCCGACAGAGGCAATAGCATGATTCCTAGGCTATCTCAGATCGACCTATCCGCAGCGGAAGATTCCTCTTCCTTTGGGAACGAGTGCGTATTGCGAGCTCATACTGCAGGCGACGTTGACCCGTTTCATAGAGAAACTAACACCCACCGAAATGAGCACCACGACATGGGTTTCTTCGACTGGACCAGACTAGGTATATCGCCCTCTCTGCCTCGACACATCCTATTTGCCCGCTCAATCGATTGGGCATCTACACCCTTGGGTCCCATCGAATACTGGTCCAACGACCTTCGCGCAATGTGTAATCTCATCATGTGAGTTGACTACTATGGCGCCGAATACTTGAACTCCGATTCTAATGGCGATCAGGGCGAGTCCCCATCCTGCAGCTATGTACTGGGGAGAAGAGCTTGTGGCTATCTACAATGAGGCCTATATTGGTAAGTACCCGCGTACTGACATTCAGACATCAATTAACATCTCGATTAGGGCTTGCAGGGCAGAAGCATCCTGCGCTCATGGGCCAGAGTTACAAAGTAGCTTGGGCAGAAATCTGGGATGAGGTCAAGGGAGTATTCGCAAACGCCCGTCTCACAGGCCAAGCGACTATGAAGGACGACGACTGCTTGTTTATGAAACGCAGCGGCTTCCTTGAGGAAACGTACTTCTCGTGGTCCATCATCCCAATGGTCGGCGAAGACGGCACGGTCATGGGTCTTTACAACCCAGCTTTCGAGAAGACACGACGGAAGATTGCGGAGAGGCGAATGCTCACTCTCCGCGAAGTCGGCGAACGGACTGCCACCGCTCGGGAAGTAAAGGGTTTCTGGGATCAAGTGCTAATAGCACTCACCGAGAACGAGTTCGATACCCCGGTAGTAATGCTCTACAGCGTAAACGATGAGAATGATAGTGACTCGTCTTCCTTGCAATCTAGCAGCTTGCTTGGCTCGAAACAGTGTTTTCTCGAGGGCTCGCTTGGTGTGCCAGCCGGCCATCAAGCTGCCCCTGACCACATTGATTTGAAAGAAGGGCAAGAAGGATTCGGGCCGGTTTTCCGCGAAGTAATGAAGACCGACAAGCCTGTGGTTGTTAGCATCGGATCAGCCGACCTGCCACATTCCATGATGGACGGACTCGAATGGCGAGGCTTTGGAGATCCCTGCCGCGACGTGGTCATCTGCCCGATCCATCCTACGACTGGTGAAAACATACTTGGCTTCTTAGTCATGGGCATAAATCCGCGAAGGCCTTACGATGACGATTACAACCTCTTCATCCAGCTATTGAGTCGCCAACTCGCGACCTCTCTCGCTTCCGTCGTTTTGTTCGAGGAAGAAATCCGAAGGGGGCAGAGGGCAGCCCGGCTCGCAGCGGAAGATCGTTACAACCTCTCTACACAGCTCGCTGCACGTACGCAAGAAGCCAGGGAAAGCGAGACGAGATTTACACGGATGGCTGAATTGTCTCCTGCAGGTCTCTTCATTGCTGACCACGTTGGGCGCATAACCTACTGCAACGATACGTGGTATGAGATTGCGCGAGTGCCAAGAGAGCCGGAGATGACCGACAGATGGATTGACTATGTCAAAGACGAGGATCAAGACCTCATTCTTGCGCACTGGAAGGAACTAGTAAACAACACCACTCCTATCAACATAGAGTTCCGATTCAAAGCACCTTGGGAGGACCGCAACCGGAACAAGAGCGAAACGTGGGTCTTGTTCCAGGCGTACCCCGAGAAAGATGAGGATGGGCAGCTGAAGAGTGTTTTCGGAAGCATCACGAACATCTCTCCACAGAAGTGGGCCGAGGGTTTCCAAAAGAGGAAAATGGAGGAAGCTGTTGAGCTCAAACGACAGCAGGAGAACTTCATCGACATTACGTCGCACGAGATGAGAAGTATGATACTGCCGTGTACGAAATTATTTCTTTTACTGACTACGATTCAGATCCCCTCTCTGCTATCCTGCAATGTGCCGACGAGATCAGCACCATCCTGGGCGATTTCAGAGCGTCCGGCTCCAATGTCATTGACGAGACTGTTTTGGCCGATTCTATAGATGCGGCGCAGACGATTGCTTTGTGTGCGCAGCATCAGAAGCGCATTGTCGACGATGTCTTGACGTTGTCAAAGCTCGACAGCGCAATGCTAATGGTACGAATACGATTTGATTTTCGCGAAATCTTTGCTAACAAGTGCGTCAGGTAACACCAGTCGACGCTCAACCACTACAAGTCGTACAGCGCGCCCTGAAAATGTTCGAAGGAGAAGTTCAAACGGCTGGTATCCAGATGGAGTTTGTCCTTACCGATTCGTTCACCAAATTAGGTGTCGACTGGGTGAAGATTGACCCGTCTCGGGTGCTCCAAGTTCTCATCAATCTCACCACCAACGCGATCAAGTTCACTACCACCGAGGAGACCCGGACCATCAAAGTCGTATTATCAGCATCGAGAGAGCGACCGTCAGCCAGCGATCATCCCACCGTTAGCTACTTCCCCATGCGAGCGAAGAGGACCGACCAAACTTGCGGTCCGGACTGGGGCGATGGTGAGGAGATCTATCTGGAGTTTGCAGTGCGAGACACAGGCCGAGGTCTTACGCCGGAAGAAAAGAAGCTCCTCTTCCAACGTTTTTCCCAAGCGAGCCCTCGAACGCATGTTCAATACGGCGGCTCAGGTCTTGGTCTGTTCATCTCACGCGAATTGACTGAACTGCAGGGTGGAGAGATTGGCGTTTCTTCCGAAGCAGGCAAAGGCAGTACTTTTGCTTTTTACGTCAAGTGTCGGAGAAGCAGCGAGCCACAAGAAGCTCTCGAAGTTCTTCCAACGCCATCCATGTCCAGGAAAGTTTCAAATGCGAAGGACAAGGGCAAGAGGGAATTGCCTGCGCCGTCCAAGATTGCGACTAAGATAAAAGACTTTGCGACGATACCTGCCAAAGATGGCGATGCGTCAAAGCCGAAGCCAAAGAAGAGAGAACTCAAAGTGTTGATCGTAGAGGATAATCTTGGTATATCATTGACATTTCCCCTACCGATATACTCCTACTAACACGATGCAGTAAATCAAAAAGTACTCCAGCGGCAGCTCCATAACCACGGTATCCAAACGACCGTCGCGAACCACGGCGGCGAAGCACTCGAAGCGCTCAAAGCGTCCACCTTTTGGGCGTCGCCCCAGCAATCCCCACTAGAAGACATATCAGTGGTGCTCATGGACAAAGAAATGCCAGTCATGGACGGTCTACAATGCACCTCTCAAATTCGCTCCCTCGAACAGCAAGGCAAGCTCAAGAGACACGTCCCCATCATCGCCGTCACGGCGAATGCACGCAGCGAACAAATTGCAACCTTGCTCGCAGCCGGCATGGACGACGTCGTTAGCAAGCCGTTTAGGATCGGCGAGCTAATCCCCAAAATCGAAGAGCTGGCAAGCAAATTCGGAAACAAGAAGATACCAGACGAAGCTACGCTCGCTGTGCCCGTCGGGCCGAGCGTGAAACCATATGGCGTATGAAAGAGATGGCGTTACGATTTCAGCGGTTTGGGTCATGGGACTGAGCGGTCGTTCTCCGACGATACAGTTATGGGCGGTGGGCATGCATACCATGATGGCGTTAGGGAGTCGGAATTTGCATGAAAGCGGTATTACTAGCATGTGCTTTGGCATCGGCGTGTCTGTTGTTTTTGTTTACTGTTACCGTTTTTGGGTCCATTGGTAAATATGCATATGGAATATACCCCAGGGGAGGTTGGGCGTTTTGGTCAATGGATGGTATATAGGCATATGCACTAGGGTAGTATGTGCAATGGATAATGAAGACTAGATGTTGGGATAGTGAGTGAGGGACGTGGCCTTGAGAGTGTGAGTGATGGTTCTATCACCTTGACGACTCACTTCCTAGTGCGCAGATTGATCACAAGTGAGTGCAGCTTCACGCCCCTTCCATATCGATAGACTGCGCTGTCTTGGCGCACGCTGTTGCTCTCACCTCATCGGGAGTGCCCGTGCTATCACTCACCCACGAGCTTTTGCAACTCATCGCCTGAGCTCTACACATTCTCTCCCAGCTCCTCACCCCGCTCTTCACTATTTCCGTGTGCACTACGAGGCCAGAGCTCCTGCTCTTGGGCGCTACTTCTACTCTCAGAGGCGACTCCGCCCGCCAAACAACGTCATGTCAACACCAAGCAGCGCGAAAAGGCGCCAGCCCGAGCGTGGCGCAAAGTCGCAGGCAGCGAGGCAACACATGAATACCCAGAAGCAAAAGAACGGAATGCTCGGCGCTACCCCGAGTAGCTACTACCTTGCTATGTAAGTGTGGCTCTGCTGTATCTGAGCCTGGCTAACGAAACGACAAGAGCTCAGCGGAACGCGGATAAGTCCGGGTTGTTGCGCCTGCCCCCCGAAATCCGACAAAGGATATGGACCTATGCAGTACACGTACAGACTGTTATAGTAGGCTACGGCACGTATCCCGAGGACGCGAGATACTACCCCGAACAGAGCATCCTCCGAGTTTGCAGACAAGTACATGCTGAAACATGTTTGCTGCCCTACTCCGGCAACACTTTCTCGCCAGACGACATGGGCTGTTTTAATGTATGGCTCAAGCGTCGGCTACCCGAACAACTAGCTGCTCTGCGAAGACTCGAGCTCTGGTGTCACGAGTACCCAAAATCCCCTCTACGTTTACTCTCTGGCTTGAAGCATGTCCGTGTGTACTGCATCTGCGATGGGCTGTGTCCTCTTGATCCAGGACGCGGTAAAGCAATCAAAGAGAATTTGGAAGGCATCTGGGGGAACTCTGATCTGGAGATCCAAATCGCACACGGATGATACTACGCGGGGACAATCCACGATGTGAGCTTTACTACAAGTAGTAAGCTATTCCACTTACTAAGACCCTGCAGTACATCGCCGAGAAACTTAGCTTACCGCTTGTTGTATCCTCGTTTCCAAAGAGAGCGTATGTATACCGGACGAGCAAAAGCAAACACACATCAACGGCATGGTTGCGATTATTCGGAGTCAAAGGCCATGTCAAACTCAGAATCGATGCTGACATCTTGACCATACTTCTACATCAACATGACATATTGACGCCAGTATGGTGTGAGCTTCAGACGTTGGGCGCAGTCCATCAGCGTTAGACCACTGTAGGACCGTGGAACGGAGACATCGGACCAGAGTATGGGTTCGCTAAATACACGAAACTGCTACTGACCCAAAGTCTTTTCATTCCCCATCTGTATCTTTGTATTCCAACTTCCCATACATCAACGCACTCAGCGACATTGACGCTCTTCAAAGTTTCGCGTCCACAGTTGACAGGCCCCTACCAGTGCCAGTCATAACGCGCGTCAGATACATGAAGCGGAAGGACGAAAACATCCAAGCCCAAAACAGAGACTCGCGTTGCCGACATGATGATTCGGAATGAGAGACGCGGCTATTTGCCACCGGTTCGTCGCCTTCAGGACGATATGGTAGATGTGACGCCATTCGGCAGATACGCGGCGATGTAAGCAGAGCCGATATGGTCTTCAGCAGAATAAAGCCCTCTCAGTATACCTGCTAAACAATTCAGCACCGAGATAAACATGCGGGTCTCACATTTGCTCTCCCTACCTCGAGAGTTGCGCGATTACATCTGGGAATATGTCCTCGGAAGCTACCTCATCTTCAACACTCAACCCGAAAGGCCGCTCGCTATGGCACATGACTCAGACCAATACATCAAACACCCTCTAGCTATCCTTTGCGTCTGTCGTTCGACATACGCGGAAGCGCGCCTCATTCCCTTCGCCATCAACAACTTCTGGTGCAGGCCTACATACCCGCCGATGCCCAGCGACGTAAACGATTGGTGGCGGAAGTTGATGCCTGCACAGTTCAACGCCATTCGTACCGTTTCAATGCATCTCGGAAGAGACATTACCGATACTGATATCCTGCAAGCGGAGGCTTTGGCGCCTTTGGTAGGCTTGAGGACGATTGTGTTTAGGTTTTGTGCGGGTTACACAGGGAGTTCGAGAGACAACACTGATGAGGGGTTCCACTCGATGAAAGATAAGCTGGTTGAGAGGCTTGAGAAAGTACTGTGCGCCGAGGGAGTGACGATCATCTTCCAGTCATGATAAGGCAAGTGGATGTAGTCGCCGCCGTGGAGTACATTCACCAGGAATAATGATGCTAACACAACATGTAGGCAACCAACCATCTCTTATCTTCTTTCTTATTACCTCATGGATGAGGAGTGTTCAAATACACCCTTCGTATTCCCGGTGCTCTCCCCGCAGAGATCCCCTCCTTCAGGGTCATTTTCGACGGGTTCAACAGTTTCTCCATCCCCGCAATTGCCAAGATCGCTAGACTTTGACAGCTACGAAGTGGGACGCGCCAGGGCGGCTTCTATTGCATCCGGGGCCGGTCCTCGTATCCATGCGGTCTAGTCAGCTAGCAGTGATGTTGCGGTCTACTTGCTACGACGCCGATAGCCGAGCCCACAGTCTAGTATACGATAGTCAAGACCGTTTGAGCAATCTTTGGCGAACATGCGGGCTTCTGCGACGCGGTTGCATTGTGTCAGTTGCATGTGATGTCGAATACGTAGCTCGGTGCCTCTTCCGTTCAACTTACACCTGCCTCTTTGGCACCTGAAATGATGCACGTTGCCGTACCCAGGTAGGTGGGTACGATCGGATGACCCCGTACCTGTTCTATGGCACAACTCTTGGAAATCATCACCGCAACAGGCCAAGCTTTGCGTAGTAGAAGGTGCGGGCCGCATATGGCAGCGGCTACGGAAGGCAGTCCGGATCGCTGCCCACCAATAGGATGGTCAAACGCACTTTAGCTTGGTGTGGCTGAACTCAATATCTCGCTGTACGAGAATGATTACTTTGATCTTGATCTACACCTTCTGTGGCGGGCTAGGTTTGTAAATGTCTGCATGTGGGCTATGAGGAACGGCGCAGTGATGTTTCGTGCGTTCGCCTAATCGAGCAAGATTACGACGGGTAGGTTTCGCAATGCATACCTTTTGGGACCTCTAGGCGTGACATGCAGTCGATCTCTCATTCTGGTAAGTTCATGGTGTATGGGATGGTGTATCTGGGTGAGCAGTCGTGAATGCGGTCGCAGTATAAGTATCCTTCTGTCCACTCCAATTTCTCATTGTCGCAACAAACAACTCTTATCCAAGAACCTTCACTCACTCTCTTCGATCTCCAAACCATCACAAACATGCGCTTCAACTCCATCGTCGCCGCCGGTGTCATGTTTTCGGGAGCTGTCGTCTCCGCCGCCGAATGCAGCTGCTACGGTCTCTGCACCCCCGGTCAAGCCGGATCTCGCAACTCGCTCTACGCTGCTCGTCAACACGTCTGCGGCGACGGACTATACAAGAACGATGGCGGATACAAGGTTCCGGGTGGAGGTTACCTCTCTTGGCCTGGAGGCTTTGACCAACAGAGATGCTGGGACGCGTTTGAGAACATTCTTAACCAGTGCCGTCCCGAGGGCGCAGGCCTTGGTAACCATTGTGGGTCGTACAACTGGTACGGAAAACTCTACAAGGTGGCAGGATGTAAGTTAGATCTCCCTTCCTGATGCGTTTTACATCGTAAAGTGCTTTACTAATGTATGTCTTGCGATACAGGCGCTTAGTACGACCAAGAAGCGACAGGATATACCTTGCTGCAATACACATCCACTGAATTCGTGGTGAACTGGTAAATACATTATTCAGAGGAACCAGAAACGTATACGATTGTTGTGTCACGTAGGTGGAATTCTTCTCAGAAACAATTCAGCTGAAATGAAACCCCGCTATTCAACAACTTGCACTGCTCATATAGTCAATGTGTGTGCAGTTTTAACGTGCATTGTTTCCAATTATATGGAAGCTGTCATCTCGTCTCCAGAGTGCAAAAGAAATGTGCCGTTATGTGTAATCAAGGAAGGTTGGCAGGATGTTCTCATGTCCTGCTCAGCCACATGTCAAAACCAAAAAAAGTCAAGATGCTCCGCAAGTCATCTTCGTCAGCCAGTCCTTTTCTCTCAGTATGAAAGTGGCCAAGAGACGAAGTCTGCCTCCCGGTATCGGTGCTCATACACAATCTTCACATCCGCAGACACCACCTCCTTTAGATAGCGCTTCAAAACCGTCTTCACGTCTTCGAACCGACGCTCAGCATTTGGGTGCTCCGTGTTCAAGTAGAAAGTGACCTCTTCTAGACGAGAGAAGGCTTTCAAGCCCTCCAGTCTTCTAATATCGAAGTTCCCAATGACTGGTAGCTCTTTCCTGGCTCGGATCGTGATAGGGAAGGAAATATAGCGGATGCACTCCCACTGCGGACCCAAAAAGAGGGGTTTGCAAGCGTTTAGCGAAGAGATGGTATAGTACCAGTACTCATTGGTTGAGAAGGGAAGCAACGCTGTCTCGTTGTAGACTTGACGGCAGGTATGCTGGAAAAGAAACGGTGAATACACAGAAGATGCTCCTTCGTGAGTGCCGTTCTTGATGGAAATCATAGCCCTTTCCACAGATCCAGCTCGCATGAAGATGCGTAGACCATTGTTGACGTAGGCAAAGATCTTATTGCGCACTTCGGCCGGGAGACGGAGTACAGGCGAGCTAACGCTGTTCCGGTGTGTACTTGAAGACGTCAGTAAGTAGCGAGACTCCCCAATGCAATGTAACTTACGTGGCTATAAAATCCGGTGTACGTGGTGTAGCATCCAGCATACCGTTGTCGTAGAGACGTAGCTTGCCCCGGTAGATGGCTTCTGCTATCTTGATTTGGTCGAATTCAGACATGCGCTCCACCTTCGGTACCACCACGAGCTTCGCATATATCTTCCGGAATCTTCGGACATCGCCTTGCTTGGATAGCCGAAGTCTGATTGGGCAGATGCTCGCCATGGTTGATGTATTTACACGAGAGGTGTGACGCTTTGTAGAGCTTGGATAGATATGCGCCATTGCCGTGGGAGGCGGGCTAGGGTGTTATTACAATGTAGTTGAGAGTAATAAGCAGAAATAGTGTTGGAGGGTTCTTCTCTATCTCGTGGTGACGACCAATACGCTAGTACTGTACCCAGGTGAGAGACTGTCTCTGCCTAGTCGGTGAGTGAGCGGGTCTGCATGAGGCTAGCGCAATGGACCCTGGATGTCTCTTTGTCACCTTGTCCCCTCTATCTTTCTTCTCATTTCCTATCGATCGACCGACTTGCTCCGACAAAGATGGCGAGGCCAAAGCCAAGGGTCGTCGACAACATGACTCAGGTCCCGAAGCCGACGAGAAAGGTTTGGCCGGACAGGGCGATTTCAACGTTCGAAGTAAACGAGATGTGAGTAGCCGCTGCACCTCATGCAAGGAAAACACTGAACACTCTGGAGCCTACGTCAATATTGGATCTTCCGACTTGCTAGTGTTATCATGGTTTAATCTGCAGAGCTAACGAAATCAGATCCAAACGCAACTCTATCGAGTCTCCTCTCCTGCGACTTCCAGCTGAGCTACGGAATCAGATATATGGGTATGAAAGTTCCGGCGCATGCTTCCACAAAGTGGTACTGACATCCCTTGCTAGATACGTTCTAGGCGGCGAGATTTACAAAATCTCAAGCTCTTGTGTTGACAATCGCCGTTACGCAGTTGGCAACGCCCCTCGCCTTCATTTCGTCTGCCGTCAGATCTACAATGAAACCTCGACGCTTCCGTTCTCACTCAACACCTTTTCCGCCGCGAATCCGTTTAACCTGTCAGATTTCGCAAGATCACTATCGTCTTTTCAGCGCAACGCTATCAAGACAATCCGGTTCGAACTCATGGGAAGCATTAGGGCTTCTTACACGCTGTGGAAGGCGAGGTACAATGGCTCGATCTGGGCCACCATGCTGAAGGGGTTGCAAACGGTGCTTATTCAGAGGAATTGCCGAGCACGATACGTCACTGCAGGGCAGCAAGAAGAGGAGATGCGAGAGCTGAAGAGAGTGATAACGTCCTGGAGAGCGGATATAACTGTGCGAGAAAGCGGGTATTACTGTTATCGCATGAAGGATGGGCAACAATGTGGCCCTCTATCCGAATGCCGAATGCTGAGCTTAGCAAACGGAGGCTGAAGTGCGAGTCGTACACATGCTGTTGAATTCTGACGACTAGACAGTTCTTATTGCAATGTATACTTCTGCCTTGAGATAATCTTTGTACAAGGCAACACGAAATGTGGCCAGCCCTGGTGACAGTCGCGCAAACACATAATCACGATGTGAAATGAATCCGCAGCTGATTCAAAATGACGACGAAGAGTCAGCGCATCAAGAGCGCTTTGCCTGTGTGAGATACCTCGGTCAGTCCATATTCACATGCGCGTATATATGAAACGTGGAACACTCGTCACATGTGCTAGTGAGGTATATAGCATGAATATTAAATCTTTGTAAAGTCGTAACCAACCAATAAAGAAGAAACGTGTAGAACCCCTCTCAACTCCGCCGCGCCCGCCACCACTTGACGAAGTCGCGTCGTAGTGTCGTCTTTAGATGCTCGTTGAAGCCATAGGTGATGGCGTTTGCGAACCCAATATATTGCGTTGAGCATTGCAGAATACTCAACGCATAGCTGGGATGGCCTGCAGCTTCCACCAAGCGGTTGAGAATACCAGGTAACCAGAGGATGATGTACAGAATGGGGTATGCGTTGAGGAGCAACATCCTCTTGATTTCTCGCTCGACCTTCTTTGTGCTGGTGGCGCCCTGCTGATTACTTCCCGATTCGTGGGGTGCGCCCGACTCGTAAGCCCCGGACATTGGCGCGGGATGGTTGCTGATCATGCCGATGCTGCGCTTCTTATCTGCGGGCGCAGTCATTTCTGAGGGGAAGGCTGGTAACCATTAGTATTGGCACGTTGTAGATAGCCGAGATGCTCGTGCGCATCTGAATGGGGAAGGACATACCTGATGCGGATTGGAAGTAAGGGCTTTTGGGTGACATGGGAGGGGACAGTGTGGTGGCGCTTTTGCGGCTGTTTGTCTCTAGGTCGCTGGCTGTGAAGATGATGTCTTCCTTTCCTAGGTTGGTGTCGCTCATGCCATCGGAGTGTTTTACCTCGTAGGCGTACTCCACGTTGATCTCGTGCAGCTCTGTCTGCGATTCGCTCCTCAGCTCGTGGGCGTCGTCTCGGCGGAATTCGCGGCGCTTGGCAGCGCTGGCTTGATTGTATGACCCTCCTTGGCTCATGGAGTGCAGTTGCGAAAAGTGCCGACGCATGTAGATCCAGATGTAGATGTAGATTCCAATCGTTCCGAAGATGATGCTGAACCTCCAGCCATGGCCCAGGGCATAGCGCAGGTCAGTTCGCGTGCCCGATATCCAGCACCAGTTTCCGCTGACGGGGCTTAACTCGTTCAATCCTGCAGCTGTACTCGCTGTTCATTCAGGTCAGCCTTGCGTTGATGGATGTGCATCTATGAGCTTACCTGTGATGGTAGGAATGACCCAGACGGAGCCGCAAATAAGCATCTTGCTCATGAGCGAGGCATTGGGCATGTACGTTTTACGGGTAATCGTAGTAAGCGTTATTATGGCGATGGCCAGGATAGAGAAGTCAGCGGCCTGAACAGACCACTGACCTACCCAGCCGTTGAGATTACATGCCGCACCCGGTGCGATGGAACCTTCATTGGCAATTGCATAGATCCCAGATATCGAATTGTTCAGCGAATTGATGAATTCTGGTATGCGTGGTCAGTCTAGAGATCTCATCTGGTCGTCAAGAGCTCTTACCAGCCAAAGCAAGGTTCAATACAAGTGCGTGACGGAACGACCGTTGCGAATCAGCGTACACAACGTACGATATGAGAACGCACCCTGTGGCAATGAAAGACAGCAGACTGCCCACAAGCGTCGGGATAGCAATGGTGAGATTGAAAGGCATGCTGAGCGGTTGCTGGGATGCAAGGCTGACCAGCGGGACGGCGCGATTATATGTCTGGGTTTCACGATGAGGCCGGCGAACGTACTTGGCTTGAGGTAACTATAGCACATAAAGCTATAGTACATAGGAGACGTACCACGCGCCAGGAACGCTCCAAATCCTAGGCCGATTCCTGCAGCCCAAGCATTGCTGCTAATCGACACACGGGCGCGTGACTACGGTTGATTTCTTTAGCCAGGGATTCAAAGGGCTGTTCTGAGCTAGAGGTTGGTGCCTGTAGCAGCTGTGGTTCAAGGTTTATGGCTGGTTCATGGTCTGAGTCCCGCCTCCCGCGATTTTGGCCTGCGACCCCAGGACGAGTCGATTGTAGGCGTTTCAAGCTCCGAAGAGCTCTAGAATATACAAGTGCCTGACTACGCAAGCGTCTGCAGGTGGTGTACCAAGCTTCCAGAAGCCATGACCGATCGTGTGCATAGGTGCCATGCATCGCGGCCTTGCGTGCCCGTTAGCATTTCCGGAATGCTGTCCTCTGAATGGTGATTTACGATGGCAAAGAATTGTAAGCCTTGCGCTCGGCCTGCGAGTGGACGATCGCGAGGTTAGGACCGATAGTGCGTGGTCGATGACAGCATGAGCTGGGGTTTAGGTTTGCGCAAGCTCGCTACTCTTGCCGAGGTGAAGACTGACCAGTCACCATTGGCTTGGTACCGTACCCAGCACGTCAA